TCTGTAGTGGGGGGGGGGGGGAGCCAGCAGCCTCTGGGATGTTAGCTTGGGGGGGGGGGAGGTAGCAGCCCTCAGTCTCAGCAGGCATGGGGAAAAAGAGGGACTGCAGATCTCAAGATTCATGATCAGTGTCTATCCTGCAGGCTTAAGCTGCTTTCTGAGCTGATGTGAAGGGTGTAACTCTGCCCTGGCAGGACTGTCCTAGGTACAGGAGCTTGGGGGAGGTACTCATCTTCCTGTTTCCTCCTGGAAGCAGGAGAAACTTTCCTGCTTTGGGCAATCAGGCTCCCCAAAGCATCCTGTAGTTGTGTGAGGTTTGGCTGCCCCCAAAGAGGGGGCAGAAGCTCTGCTGCATGTTCTGATGTTCTCAGGCTGCAGCGTAGGAGCAGGGCAAGTGTGTGCTGCTTGCTTTTGTGGGAAAAGAGGTTTAATGAGGTGTCAAATACAACCCAGTCCCTCTGGGGAAGGGGAAATGGCTGAGCAAAAACTAAAATGTGGGAGCAGAATGCTTTTGCCCTGGAATTGTGAGCGGGTCACTTCAGACTAGAAGCAGGCCAAGAGATGAGCTTTGGCACTGTGCTCCTGGTTTGGTTATGTTCCCAGCTGATGGCTGTGATGTTCTACAGCCTGGAAGGGTCTGGTGCTGTTAGTGCCATTCTGAGCATTTAGGCATCAATGTTATCCCATGACCTCTCACTGACTTGTTTGGGACTGCCTGAGTGGGTGTCATCCCCATGTAATGAAAAGCAAGGAACATAGAGCACCATCTTCCCATGGTTTTCTGTCTTCCTTCTCTTCTCTGTCAGTGCTGGCCAAGCTGTGATGCAGTCTCCTGGTCCATAATGACTACAGAAATCACCAAGACACAAGTATAGTGCATAGCTTCCCTTTCCAGCTCTGTGCTGACTTACAGGAAATCTTAGCAGATGCATCATGCTGCTTCCTATGAAAATAGGCTGGCAGCCAACATTTCCCAGCGCAGGGAGGAGGTGGCTGTGATGGTCTGACTGTCAAACAATGCTCCTAGGCCATGTGCCTTAGTATTGCTCCTTCTTTCTGGCTGTTCATGTGAGCTATAAAGCTGTCTATTAAAGTTTTCCTCTGGTACTATGTTTGTGCTTTTGCATGCCAAGTGCGTTTGGGGGTGATACATGACCTCTACAGCTTGGAAAGAGGAATGACCTCCTTGGACTTGCTGCAGCACAGCCAACTTCTGGTTGGGCACAGCAATGTACCATAAGAGGTGGCTTGGAAGCAACATCTAAAGGGTCTGTTTCCTGTTGGGGAAGGAGCAGGGATGGGCCCCAAATCATCCTTGCAACAATGTCCTGTGGCTTTTGTGGAAGTCCAAGATGTACGTATATGGTGGTGAGGTGACTTTCAATCAGTGGCTGAAATGAGGTTCTAGGATGGACTAAAGAAAGGAGGTCTAGCATATGGCTGTGTTTTATCCCTGTAGATAGGGCTAGAAAGGTAGCTGGGGCTTTTATCAGTCTCTTCTGGAGCTTTTTGATGTGTGTCAACCTCTGCTTTAGTGCATTTGGCAGTGTATGGTCTTCTAGTAGTCTTCAAGTTTTAGCATGCATTAAGGTCCACTTCAAGGACTATGGGGCTGCTGTCCACACCCTACTCAACCCAAACTTACTCTCCTAGGGTCCTGAATCTGACTTGTAAAGGCCTAAATTCTTTCCTAGAAATAAGGAGGGGACTTGATGCCCCTGACAGAGGAAAACACTCCTCTAATGTAGGGGAGAGCTAGTGCCTGCAAGGCCGCATTTCATGCGAGGTAACCTACCTCCATTGGACCTGGCTTCTGAAGCGCTGTATTCTTCCTCTGGAACTAAACATCTCCTTTCATTAAACCTTGTTGCCCTTTCTCCTAGGTACGGACGCTATTTGTCAGTGGCCTTCCTGTGGACATCAAACCCAGAGAGCTCTACTTGCTCGTCCGACCATTCAAGGTAACGTTTATCTTGCCTATGCCGTTCCAAGGACTTCCAGCTCTGAGCAGTGTCTGGGGTGCCGGGTGAGCAGCCTCTGCAGGGCCGCATTCAGTGCGGCGGCTGTGAACTGGAGGCCTGCAGCTCTAGGAGGAGTGGCCTGCTCTTTCCTTCTCCCTCTGCTCTTCTGCCAGACTGTGAGGAAAATAAGATCTGTGGCTTGGCTTAGGTGCATTCAAGCCTGGCCTTTAGTGGGAAAGATGCTGTCTTGTGGCCAGCCTTGCAGCCAAGGAAGCCTATTGGAGAGAGCAGCAAGGATGAAATGGGAAACTGGACCTTTTGTGAAAGCTTTAGGAATCTGATAGGAAGCCAGAATGGTATCTCACAGACTGCACTCAGCTGGGTAACCTCCCTTGGAGCCTGTTGGTGCAATCATCCCATCTCCAAGTTCAGTGAAGGCTGCTTGGTGTGCCCTGCTACCCAACTGGGCCAGCCCTGGGTACTTCCTTGGCTCTTGGATGTGTCCTGATGGACCAGGTTCTAGTTGCATAACTGTCCATCCTTTACTGGATCTTTCCCTCTTGCCACACCAAGGACTGGAGTAGCACTTCTCCTTCCATGTGCTGGTGCTTCCAGTTGTCAGAGAGTAGTTGTGGCTCCACACAGCCACTCACATCAGCCTGTGTGGGTGCATGTGGGTGCATGGAGGCTGCTGAGGGTCCAGTGAATCAACTTCTTGAATACATGGACTTAATCCATATGATAGCACAATAAGCTGCAGAAAGGACACTTGAGGAACAAGGCCTGTGCTGAGGGTCCTTTACCCTGCACCAGCTGACCTTCAGCTGGGCGGTACTAGTTGGAGGGTACCTGTCTGCTTTGGGTAAGGGGAGGTGAATATCGATCGCTCTGCGAGTTATCCCTTACCCTGCAAATGTGGACCTGGGGTGTGAAGGCAGTGCAGTTTGCTCAGGGTGCTGCTTTGGGATGCTTCAACTCGGGGTCTTGTCTGATCTGGGACACCCACCATGGTATTGCAGCACGTGGGCTGTCCTTGGGGGAAGTGGGTGGCTCATTGCCTGACAAGTGCTGGGACCCATGAGCGAGTCTGTGCCCAGAGCTATGGTAATGTCCTGGGACGACTCTTCCAGTCTGCCCGGTCAGGGCCACAGCCTGTCTTGGTGTTTCACTGAGTGGCTTGTGTAGGCTGTACCTGGGCAAGGACCCATGTTGTGCCAATTAAGTAATGTGCCCATTGGGTGTAAGTTGACCTGCTGTTGCCTCCAGCTTGTTCCTATGCGAGACATGGGAAGCCAGATGCATGGCCAGTGAAGACTTGAAGTCCTTGTTGTTAGCACCCCTCTAGTACAGGGTGCTCTGTGCTCCCTAGGCAGTAGCTAGGGGGGGCACTTATCTTAGAAGCTTCAGGAAGAGCTGGAAAACAGATTTCTTCCCAAAGGGGCAGAACAGACTAGCTGAGATACTTGCTCTGCTCCTGGATTAATTTCAATGGCCTCTTTTTGGTGGGGAAGAGAAGGCTAGCTCCTCTGGAGAAGGGTTCATGTACCTCCCCCTGCTACAAACCCTGCCTTGCAAAGGGCTTGGTGCTGCAGGAACTCCTGAAGCTCTCATATCATGTCTTGCTTGCAGCTCTGCTCCTTCAGGAACCTGACACTGACTTGTTTTCTTCCCTTCCTTAGGGTTATGAAGGGTCACTGATCAAGCTAACATCAAAGCAGGTACCTCCTTCCTCCTGCCTGGGTATTTTTGGCTTCTGCTAGAAGAAAACTAAACTTGCTGAGAGGAGAGGTGGAACAGACTCTATTTCGCTGTGTGGAGCATTGTGTTCAGTGTCGTGTACACAGCTGGGCTCTGTTCACACACCCTGTCCTGGTGGCCCTGAGCACTCTGCATGTTCTGAATGTATCTGTATCTTCTGTAGCTATGAGTTGTATGGGCTGCTGCTTGTGCTCAGTCTTCAGCTGGGTGAAACCTGATGCTTCAGCCTCAAACCCTGTGCTGGCAGAAAGCTTCCCCTATCCCATCCTAACTAAGGCTGTGGTTCTGACAAGATAACCATGGTCAGAACTGAAACTCTTGTGGGCAAGGGGGACTGCTGCTGGTGGCTGCTGGGATGTGAAGTTTCCCCACACGTAGGAACATTGAAGCATTTGGTGTAGTGGAAACAGATGGAGAGCAGGAGTCTTGGACCTCTAGCTCTGCGCAAGGGCCCTCTGTAAGCTCAGATGGTCTCTTTTTGACTGCTGTCCGGGGCAGAGAGGTTGGCAGGGTAGTCTGAAGAGTTGGAAGAGACTCCCAAACTGAAATCAGCATTATTTCTTCTAGCCAGTTGGTTTTGTGACCTTTGACAGCCGGGCTGGTGCTGAAGCAGCAAAGAACGCCTTAAACGTGAGTACCTGATGTGTCAGGAGGCCCCAGGGAGGGCTGAGGTTAGCTGTATGCCATGCTGTAGCTAGACCTAGAGCCACTTCTAAGCCAGCTGTGGGCTAGACTGACACTGGCCTTGTCTGTAATATAGGAAAGGCCAGGCTGGCTCCTAGGTACCTGCAGGCATAGGGCAATATGTCACTGACAGCCTGTAATGCTATACTGAGGCCAACTTGTATCTAGCCTCAGCTTTTGAGGCTCTAGGGTGAGCTCACCAGATTAGTCTGGTAGTGAAACATTTTGTGGCAACGTTCATCTGTCTTATGGCCATAAGACTTGCTTGGTGCTGGCTTGTTAAAGCTTTGCTTGCCAAATGCCCTAATGAAAAGCGTGTGGCAGTTCAGTAGAGCAGGGCATTGCTCTGGACTTTGGCCTGCCAGGACCTCTGCAGCTAGAATGTACCTGCTTCAGGAGGGCATAGAATAAGGAAACATGCCTTCCCGTGTGCCTGTTTCCATGGCAGGACCAAAGCTGGCTGGTACAGGATTGCTTAGCGTGTTCACCACATTCCCAAACTGCTACAGCTCAAAAAAGGGCATGAGGAATGTGGCAGGTATGGCCCAAGCTATCTGCATCCCATGTGGCCCTGCAGAATGTAGTGGGATCTAGGCAGCAAAACCTGCTGAGATAGGCCTGCCCTGCTGCATGACCCTGCCTCAGGCAGCTGGGCATGTGGCTATGCCTCTGCCTAGGCTGGCAGTGGGTGTAGGAGCGCCACAGGTAGCCCAATCTTTATTGGAGCTTCCTATCCCAGCTCCAGCAAAGTGAAATCTTCCCTGACCACCACTGGTGGCAGTTGCTATTATGCCTGCTGGGGAACTGCACGTAAAGAGCAATGCTGTATGCCACATCTTGGTGGTAGTAGTAGGCCCTTTTCTGGTTGTATGGTCCTAGGCCAGCTGAATGTGGAAACACAAGCCTGTGGGAGCTTTAGTGTTGCAGTGGACATGCAACTACAGTGCAATGGCCTCCATTCCCCAGTTAGGCTTTGCTCCATGAGTAGACGGAGCCTTTTCTTGGACTGGAAACCTCCCTGCTGAGAGACTCTATGCTTTCTCCTGCCGCAGGGCATCCGCTTCGACCCAGAGAACCCCCAGACCTTGCGGTTAGAGTTTGCTAAAGCCAACACAAAGATGGCCAAGAGCAAGCTGATGGCCACACCAAACCCCACCAATATCCACCCTGCCCTGGGCGCACACTTCATTGCACGAGACCCCTGTGAGTATGCTGGGAGGCAGTTTGAGGTAGTGCCTGGTCCAACCCAGGAGATGCCTAGCACCGGGTGTGCTAGTGTTGGGACTTGGCATAGCCAGGATGGAGAAGATGCCTCTTAGCCACATACAATCTGGTTGAAGCCTGCCCAGTACAGTAAGGCCAGCACACTGGTTGCAGGAGAACAACCGGCATACAGTAAAGCTTCTGGCCAATGCTGCAAACATTGGGAAAGCAGAGCTGTTTCTTGTAGACGAAGTGATGCCACTCAAGTGCTTAAACCACCTCTAGGTGCAAAGCAGCAAGGGCCGGTCCTGTCCCCTGCACACTCAGCATAGTGCAGTGAGGCAAACAGCTCTGCTGCAGCTTGTCAGGCAGCCCACAGCATGGCACTGAGCCTCATCTTTTCTGTTGTCCCGCAGCACCAGCCCTGTGCTGTGTGCTTGTACCAGACTGCCTAAGACCCCATGCCACCTGTTGTAGGTCCCTTGGGGATGGAGCTGTCTTCCTGGGCTCTCCTGGCAAGGCTGGGAAGCTGGAGGAGCAGTTGGTCGCAGTGACACTGCAGGAGTACTATATATCTCAGTGCTATATTTTAAACCTCCCTGGGACAGCAGTGCAGAATCTTGGTTTTGAGCTGAAAATCCAGAGTGTCTCAAGTAGGCTGTTGGGGCAAGCTACTAAAATGCTATCACCTTGTGTCCTCCTGTCTAGATGACCTGACTGGAGCGGCTCTCATTCCAGCATCCCCAGAAGCATGGGCTCCCTACCCACTGTACACCACGGAGCTAACCCCTGCCATCCCCCATGCTGCGTTCACATACCCGGCAGCTGCTGCTGCAGCTGCTGCTCTTCACGCTCAGGTGAGTTGCTTCTGGCCTCCCTTGCTGAGAACTGTGCTCTCCTCTCTCACTGTCCCCTGGTGCTTGCTCCCTTGGGTCTCTCTTTGGCTGGTTCGATTCTGGCATCTGCGCCTTGACTCCTGGGCCAAAACTCTGGCTGAAGTGGATGAGCCCCCCAGCCCTGAACAAACCACAGGGGAAACATTAAAGCACTGGCTACCGAGTAAATGGGCAGCCTGAATGCAGTCGGAGCTCAGCACTGATTTCTGGCCCTGCAGGTCCAGCCTGCTTCCCTGCTATAGGCAGGCAGCTGGGGGAAGTCAATGCTCAACTTTGGCTAGCTCTGCTGGTCTCTGTGGCCAAAGAACCGTGTTGTGGGACTGCTGTGAGGAAATGCTACATACCAGTGAATAACATAGCTATGAAATGTCCTCTTTGAAAGTGGAAGTTGCAGTGGGCTGCTGAAGCTGAGGCTCGCTTGGAACCCACTTGGGCTAAGTGACTTGGACATACTTTTGAAGCTAAGGGGGACATGATTTAGCAGAGCCCTGCCACAGCAAAGAACTGAGGTCTGTTCATGGGGGGAGGGGGGTATGTTAGCTGCTCTGGATGCAGGCTAGAGTTGATTTGCGTATGGGCCTATGGAGATGCTAGCAGTTGTGCATCTGGCTGCCTGGTATCCCAGAGGATCTGCTTGCTGACAGCTGAGGTGTAGGGATGTCTGTGCTTTAATAAACTGAGACGAACACCCCTGCTG